GGCATCACTATTTCCAATATCATTTTGTCTCTAATAAGCTTTTGGCCTTTTTTTTTTTTTTTACAACAGATGTGCACTATGTTGGCATCTTCATTTCATGAACTTTTTCCTTATAACTTCTGATCCCATTAGGTTTTTGGGTTTTTTTTGTAAATAGTTGGGGCTTTTGGCACCAATGTGCATCATTTTACACTTGCTCACATTTGAATGGAATCTTCCATTCTGATACCCACTCCCCTAATGTGCAGAGGTCCCTTTGGAGCTTTTTGGACTCCATTATTGTTTTTACCATGCAGAACAACTTAGTGTCATCAGCAAACTTGGCTATTCCACTAAACACAGGTGATTGCAGGTCATTTATAAATAAGTTTTAAAAGCCCTGATCCTAGAGAGAGTTGCTTATCCACAAGAGCGTCTGCCCTTTTATTCTATGGCTATTAAAATTATTCAGAATCAATCTTTGATTATGCCAGAGCCTCTATTATTGTGATTTTAAACAATAGCAAAGCTTTCTGAAGTGTGATTTCCTTTTTGGCTTCCCATTGGAGATTTCTTTTCATTTGTCTATTCAATTATGAGAACTTCCCTTCTCTGAAGTGAAACTTGCTATGTAAGTTATCTCATGTCTGAATGCTGAATTTTATTGCAATATTGCACTATGGTCACTATTTCACATTATGAAGATACAATAATGCAGACATTTTATTGAGAATTAGGCATAATGAAATATGATCTCTTTTTCCCATAAAGGCCAAGGTAGTTTTTCATTTTTTTCCTGTTCAATTCTCATTTTCTAGGTATGGCAGGTGATAAATTAGTAGTATATTGTAAGATTTTATAGTGTCGTGTAGTCAATGTTAGCATAGGTTGCACCAAAGAATTGAAATTGACAGTATTCCACATGCTGAGAAATCTGATTGCACAGAGTTCTTCGTGTGGAAAACTGCAACTGTGCACTAGCTATACAAGTATGGTTATATAATCCATGGTGGGAAGCATTGTAATCACAGTGAGAAATATCAGTCTGTTGAAGTCAAAGAAAAATCAACAACAAACTAGACTGCCAAGGAAGGCTCTGTTTTCTCTGGCAGGAAAAGGGGAAATGGTCACATGACTAGAAGAGAAGGATCAATTGGAACACTGCGGGTTCCTTCTCTAGGTTCCTCCACCAAAAGAATCAGAATAGATGGGGTTTGTCCTTTCTTGTTTTCCTGCCAGAAGCTGCCTAAAGTCATTGGAGTTTATTTATTTATTACCAGTAAATTTATATGTGCCCATCTCACTGTTACAGTGACTTTCAGATGCTGAGTGGCATGCAAATTTGATTGATAGATAGATAAACAAAGCTGGCCCCAAGATAGAGGCACCAGTGTGGTGACCTATTCTCAGGGGTGGAAGTCTACCTTATCAGACCGGTTCTAAAGGTTGTTATGATTCTGCCCAGTTCAGAGAACTGGCAAATCACACCACTGGCTGGACTCTCCCCTCCCCTCCCCTCCCCACCCACTCACTCCTTATCTGGCAAACTTGCCTGCTAAGTTGGTATTTTTCCTTTCCCCCCCCCCCCCCCCCAATCAGCAACTGTTCTGCTATGCCGGGAGATTTAGTTTAGCTAGAAAGCAGGAAATCGTTGGATTTCTTGCTTTCTAGCTAATCTAAAAGCATAGCTGAATCTTCCTTAGGACTGAAGCTTCTATTTTTCAGTGCAGACTCAGGTAGTAGATTGCAGAATGGTACATTTGTGACTGAATCTGTGATTCTGTGAGCATCTCAATCTGCCTGCCTGCTTTGCCTGATTTTTTGGGTAAAAGTTGCTCTCTTTTTTATAAAACCAGTAGTAGTTTGGTGGGCGTGGCAGGGGAAGGACACTGTAAAATATCCAGTCAGAGGTGGTATTTACTGGTTCTTCAAACAACTCAAAATTTTCTCTATCAGTTCTTCAGAACTGCTCAGAACCTGCTGAATACTACCTCTGTATAAAACATTCAATATTTACATGCATGGTGTGTTGTGAGTTAATTTTGTGAATTTGCTTGCTAGCAAATTTTATGAGATACTTGCAAGAAAATTTTATGTGACAGACTCAGGTAGCAGGTTGCAGAAAGATAGATCTCTAAGTGAATCTGTGATTCTGTGAGCAACTCACTCTTTGCCTGATTTTGGGTAAAAGTTGTTCTTTTTTTAATAAAAAATTCAATATTTACATAAATATTTACAATATTTACATACAAGCCATGCCCAACCAGTCATGTGGCCACCGAAGTCACACCCAGGCAGCAAGCCATGCCCACCCAGTCACATGACCACCAAGCCACACTCACAAATTAGGCCACACCCACAGAACAGGTTGTTAAGACATTTGAATCCCACCCTGCCTATTCTCAGTTATGATCTCAAAGTTGGGGCAAGGGAGCTCTATGGTCAAGCACATTGCTAATATCAGACTCTTCTTTAACCCTAATGCACATATGTATGGATTGACTCTCCTTCTAGGAGGAAGTAACTAGCTAAATATTTAGCTTAGTCTTTCCCCATCATGCATTTTCTTTCTTGTTTTTCAGTTAAAATTCTGTTTCACTTATTCTTCCCCAAGCTAGAGTTTTAGGGATGCTCATATACAGAGATAGTTTCATTTTCTTTGACACCACAAATCACTACTTGAAGAAGTTGAACCTCAAAACTACCTCAGCTGGAGTACAAAATAAATGTGACTGATTTCCTCTGGGACTGTGAATCCAGAACATTTTCGGAGTCTTTTCAGGGAATTTGTTGCAGCTAGTGGTCTTAATAATATCTCCATCTCCACCAGAAAGATTGGAGATGATCGCTCCCAAATGTCTTTGATTAAACCATAAAGCCTATCTCAGCTCCTTGGTATTTGGGGAGCTAGGTTAATGAAACATTTGGGACAACAGCTAGAGTATAGATGTCAGAAAATGTCTTGCAAACATGATCAATTACCAATAAGAACTACAACAGAGGACTTCAGAGATGTTGGATCTCTGTCCATGATTAATTTACACCTTTTATTTCCTGTACACTCTATTCCAATGCCATAGCACAGAGAAAGATTTGAGAAACATTTAGACACAAGAGATTTGTTAAAGTCAGCATTAATAAGGCTTCTGCTGATTGAGTTAAGGAAAGACATATACTCCTTCTTTTAAACTAGATTCCCAGTTACTCTTATCTAGATGCTGGTAACTGGCAATGCTTATCAGATTGTAACCTTTCATTGTGACCTGTACTCGAATGGTTGAATTCATTGATTTAAAGTGCTGGCAAGAAAATAGCTTAATCCTCACTGACAGAGACTTAACCAAACTGTGTAATGTAGTTTGAGAGGTGAAGGCCACTACCTGAAAACTGCCAAACTGGGAGATGCTAAACGTAAAAGCAATGTTACAGGAAAGTGTTATGACACTGCGTGAAGTATCTTTCTTAAGACTCTTGAAGCCTGCTGCTGATTCACAGATCTAAGAATAATCAAGTACTCTAAAAAATGCTACAGAATTCCTTTATATTGCTCAGAAGGAATTTTCTGTCTTTTTTATTTTGACCATTCCTGAATGTCCCTGTCAAATTACTATTTCTTTAGTAATGTTTTACAATTTTTTTAGTAATGTTTTTTTTCTGAAATTATATTACTATCCATTAGTTAGGATAGTAACTAACCAACTGTTATTTTTTCTTCTTTACTGAAGAAGAGACTCTTTGCATTAACTGTTGTGATTGTTATATAGCTGTTTCTATTGTGCTCCTCTTTCCAGGACTAGAGACCTCTACTTCTTTTCCTTACTAATTTTATCATTTCATTTGTCTAGTCTAGTGAAATCTTGCTTTCACTTTGTGGGCCAAAGAAAACATATTGTTTCCTGAAAATCTCATATCAAAACCCTGTTGTATGTTTATAATCTATAAATTTTCTTAAGTATTCTCTTTGATATCCTGTGAAAACTGTAATCTCATTGTGAGTTACCTGCTTTGAAAATGAGTGTGGGGGTTACTATTTATTAGATCTATGCAATATGTCTTGCGTTTAGGCCTTTATGGTGAAGTGTTGCCATATGTGAGGAGAAGGCAATGGCAGCACAATTTGTCTTACTGAGATATTTCATTTTGATTCTGGGCTTTCTCTGGCACTTCCATACAGAGAAGCCCCTTCCAATTCCTGGACATTCTAGAACAGGCTCCCAAATTAACATTAAATAAAACAATACACCATATCCACTTCACTGTTTAGAGCAGGGATGTCAAAACTCACAGCTCATGGGCTGGATGCATCACATGCTGGTCACACCCACCCATTTTAATGAAGGGGGAAAAGTTGCAAAATGTCACGTGATGACAATGTGTCATTGACACCCCTGGTTTAGAGGTAGGAGGCCATATTCATGAAACCACATTGAAGCAGCACCTCATTCACATCTATTTACCTTTGAAGCAAACTACCCTTGCAAAGCTTTTTATTGTTGACAGCTTTATAGTTATAGTGTTGATCAAATATTATTCATAAATTTCATTATTTGTTTAACCAATACTACAAGGTATATTTGACACCTTCCTGATATTTATAATCAGCAAAATAAACCAGGCAAATTGTTCCAAAGTTTTAGAAGGCAATGAACAATACAGTATTATCATCGTTATATATATTGCATTAACAATATCATCCTTCCAACAAACCCTCCTCAGATACTACTTTTTGAAAGAAAAATAAAGGGAAAAAAATCTAAATCAGTTTGTTCTGTTCCGTAATAATTTGTATTTGAAGATTAGATCATTTTCATGGAAGTTTTCCTTTCTCAGTGGAATATTCTGTCCACTGCTTCATTCAGTGATTTATAGATTAATAATATTTATTGTCAACCAAATGATTGATCCATATAATTGTATGCAGAAAAACACACACATACATTAGATCAATAGAATGTATGTTACTGTTCCACTTTAATTCTGTCCTCATTCCGCAAACCAAAGGTCTGAAGACAGTGACTTACCTCGCTCACATGATCTGCCCAGGTAGCCTGTACCAGAGCAATCGCAGACATATCTGTTCCAGCCATCTCTGCATACGCCATTGTTTTTGCATGGGTTGCTTAGACATGGCTTTGCTGTTTCTCTTGAACAGGAGGGTTTCACCCCAGATGTGCTCTGGATTTCTGCCATTTGACGGATGTCTTTACTTTGTCCATCAATAAATAAGTCTCGAATACAGCCCACATAGCCATAATTTAATAGGGCTGTCCAGACCTCCGTTGGAAAGACAAGACCAGCTTTATTTTCTGGCAAACCTCCAAGATATAAATCATCATCTAGGTCCAAGATCTCACTTTCTCCTGGTGCAGTATACGGAGTTCGCATCGTGTTGACAGAAATGGTACCTATTTAGCAACAAAGCATAAGTAATTCATTTGAGACAATATATTTTAACTATTTATTATTGGTATTTATATTCTGTTTCCCACTGAAAGTCATCCCCCCCCAGTGATTATAATAAATACTTCTTATTGCCACATCTATTTAATTGGAGAAAAATGGAAACTTGAATAAATTAAATTAAAAAGAAAAAGAAATAACCTATTCAATTGTTATTACAAGAATTAATCACGTGGAATGAATTATAGTTCCATGTTCATTTGTTTCATTTGCTGACAAAAACAAGGCAATTTTCTACAATATATTTTTAAGAGGGTATATTGATTTTCTAACATGGTATATACAATACAAGATTGTGTGATGAAACCAATTTAATTCCTTTATAGCATATAATTTGATCATTTGTATTCATTAGTATCAAGATAGCACATTTTGTACTATGCTAGCTCCATACTTGGTTCTTTTGCTTTTAAGAAGTAAGAACATTAATCAATCAATCAGTCAATCAATGCACGAATACAAACACCATGTGAATAGGAGACAAAAATTATAACCAGCAAACTTCTAGAAGGATTATTCTTAGTTATGGGTGACTGGAATTTTATGAAATTGAAAACCAAAGAAATAATACAGATGTAAAAAAAATAGCAGAAAAAAATGAAATGAATGTTTCCTCATATGTTTGAGGAATTACATATCATAGTAATGAAACGTTTCCATTCCAAGTAAAATAACTTGAATGAAAAATGGCACTGAAGAACAATTCAGAATAATTTAAAAAAACTTAAAAAGTAACTAGTATGAGTATGAAAAAAGGACACTACTCGAAAATCAGTTGAGGTCCCCACAATTTGCTCTGTTTTATCAGAAGCTATCCAAACCAGGGCCTCCACTGTTATTTTCAGGATAGAAAATTTTCATGAGACAGGAAAACAGCTCTAGGATCAAAACATGATCACAAAATTTGCAGCTGATTCTTATATTGGAATGATTTGATCTTAAACATTAAATATGAATTTAGGCTAAATTTTCTTCTGTTCTAAGCACATTTACATAATTTATTTGTCCTGTTTTTAGGGTACATGGAGCAGCTATAGATGAACAATCTTTCACTGACATTGCATTTAAAATCATCATAATCTGTTATTTTAGTTATTTAACATTTGTGACACAGACTGCTCCTCCTAAAATTCTAAGACAAATAAGACCTGATTAAAAATGAGACATCTGAATGGATCAAACTCCTTTCCCCTAAACTTTTTAATTATTTGAAGAATTTTATTTTCATCAGTTTCTTAAATAATAGCAGAGTAGTTGAAGAATGTTTGTTTAAAATTATGCCTCAGGCCAGAGTAACCATGCTGCAAAAAATGTTAGTTACTCTACCCAATTTATTCAAACCTAAGCTTTGGAATATTTCCCTAAATCAAAATTGCAAACTTAAATATTGCCAATTGTATAGGCAGGATTTCAAAAATTTGCTTTCCTAAAAGTAAACTTTTGAACAAAACAGTCTGTAGTTTCTGAGGAGATATGCATAAGGCTGCAATAGATTTGAACTGTTGATTAGAACTATAGCCTTGCCACTAAACTATGCCAAACACATAGAAAATGTTTACAAAGTAGAGAAAAATGAAAAAAAGCAGTACCTAGGTCTAAATTTTTTCAAAGTATATATTTTAACTCAGATTTGTCCTAGTGTTTAAACATAGATCAGACAATAACTGAAATAATTATATAATACAGTACTGCCAGCTGGAGCTTTCCTCCAAAAGGTCTTTTATATCCTATATACAAACCTTCTTCATGCACATACACACCATTTTTTCCTAGTCATTAACATTTTATCTGAGAAAGCAAAAGTTGCTTTAGAAATTGATCCAAAGGAGAATTATGGAGAAATCTTCATATCCGGAGAAGGGTATCTTGCACTTATTAGGAATGAGCCTCTGAGATCAGTAAATCCTGCCTTTTCTTGTGCAATCATATCTCCAATGGTCTGAGGGAAACTTCCTCTTCCATTGTAGATCTCTGCCTCCTGAGAAATTGGAGAATTCTTCTTTCCCTGAAGAATCACTAATCTAATTTCATTGCCTACAAATTTGAAAGACATTTGTCTCCAGCTCTTTTTCAGTTTTAGCCATGAACCATGAAATGCAATATATAATTTTATATATACTTTTAATAAAAGGTGTTGGATATTGAATAAATCAACATGTTTCTGACATAGGAACCAATCATTGGTCCCAGAGTCAGAAGTGGGAAAAAGGAACTTGTGTCACTGGCTGAAGGCACATACAGCTCCCCTTTAAAAAGGAGCTGCCACAGCTTGACTTTCAGTGCGGTTTATGGAGCAATAAATCTGAGGAACCTCTCCAAGCATGTCCTGTGTTCTTTTGCCCATGACTTAACACTGGCAATGATGGTGGGATACTGAACAACAAAGGACACCACCAGTTCAAACAGCAGCCACGTGGCATTGTCGGCCATCGCAACTCAAACTGACCAACCAAGATGTCTGGAGCAAACATCTCACTGGCACCATTCAACCCAGCCAGAGAAGACTGTGATTCATACATGGATCATTTCCACATGTTCCTGGAGGTGAATGACCTACTTGGCCTCTCAGAACAGTGGAAAAGGGCTGTGCTCCTAATCCATTGTGGGCCTACCATATTCAAGATGGCCAAAGCCCTATCATCATCCAATGAACTGAAGACGATGGCCTGGCTGGAATTGGAGTGAATACTACAGGCACACTATGTACCCCAAGCATCTTCCCTAGTATGCCAGCACAAATTCTACTGATGGGACCAAAGAGAAGGAGAGAACATCAGCGATTTCATCACAAATCCGAGGGAAATCACCTCTGCCTGAAAATTGTGGATGATGCCATGAGAGACTAAGGGATATAACCCTTCAGAGCCAGTGTCTGTGCGGAGATTACAAATCTACCCTAAATAAGGCTTTGCAGCAGAGCACATACTGTTGTTGTGCAACAGTTGTGCAATAGATGCTGCACTCCTAGGCAAGATATTCGCTAAACTCAATTTGGCCCAGGCATATCAACAACTGCCAGTTGATGAAACTACAGCAGAAGCCCAGACCATAGTCACACATAGTTTGTGTTAAGCGTTACCCCAGGATTGTTCCAGAGCCTCATGGAGCAGCTTCTACAGGGCATTGAAGGAGTAGTACCTTATTTTGACAATGTCCTGGTATCAACAGGCAACAAGGAACAACTACAACAAAGACTAAGGGCGGTATTAAGCAGATTCCAGGAAGTAGAGTTGAAGGTGAAGAAGGACAAATGCCAGTTAGCAGTGGAAAAAGTGGAATTTTGGGGGTATCTAATCGATAGCTCTGGAATACACTCCACTGATGGCAAACTAAAAGCAATCAGGGAAGCCCCAACACCTAGCAATAAAACAGAATTGCAAGGATTCTGGGGGTTATTGAATTTCTATGATATTTTCTTGCAGCAGAAAACGATGATTACTGAACCCCTACATCGGCTACTTGATAAGAAGGCAGCATGGACATGGGGGAAAAAGGAAGAGAGAACATTCAAACAAATTAAAAAAATCTATTAACATCAGAAAGCATACCTGTCCAGTATAATGAAACTTTGCCACTAAGATTATCCTGTGACGCTTCACTTTTTGGAATAAGGGCAATATTTAGCCATTGTATGCCAAACGGGTGGGAAGCCCCCATTGCATATCACTCAAAGACATTATATAAAACAGAAAGCAACTACAGCCAGCTAGACAAAGAAGCACTGGCTGCAGTTGCTGGAATCAAAAGATTCCATGAATATGTCTACGGGTAAGCATTTGAACTCATAACCGACCACAAGCCTCTCCTGGATTTAATCATGGGGACCGACCCACACCACATGTTTTATCACTGAGAATGATGTTGGATGGACTTCCTCACCACCTATAACTACAAACTGAACTATAGACCTGGGAAGGTAATTGACCACACAGGCGCACTCAGTAGATACCCACTGCTGGAACCGATGGAAGACCCAGCACCAGGAACAAGTATGCTGCTAATAGAAACTCTTGCAAACACTCCAATCACGGTTGCCAAGATTGCGAGAGCTACTGCTAAAGTCAGGACATTGGCGCACATTTTGAACTGGGTATGGAAGGGTTGGCCAGTAAACAAGGTAGGTGAGGAATGCAAGCTGCTCGTGGTGAGACAGCTTGAGCTAATGGGATTAAAGAGATGCCTTCTATGGGAAAATAGAGTAATCATCCCCAAAACATTACAGAAGGACATCTTAAACACATTGCATGAGGGGCACCAAGGAGTGATAAAAATGAAAGCATTGGCCAGGAGTTATGTGTGGTGACCAGGAATGGACGGGGAGATCGAGACGTGTTGCAACATGCACACCCTGCCAGGAATCAAGGCCAACACTACATGCAGCACCAACACATGAGTGGGAAATGATAAAATGTGTTTATTTGACCACTTTGAATAAAACAAGCAAACAAAATTGGCGTAAGAAAAAAGCTACTTATCAAAGCATCACTACATTTTGCTTATTATTTCTCAATCAAATCTGTGATGATGGCATAATACCATCCTTTTGCAACAGATGCTTTCCCAACAGCTTCAACCAAATAGAAATACATGGGGGAGGGAGGGTGAGAAGTAGGGATAAAGTTATGGCTTATTTGAACCCAGAAGGCAGGGAGTCAGAGAGAAACAAAAGTTAGTGTGGGAAAAAAAGGGGGAGTCCACAAGCCCTGAAGAATACTAGCAAATGGAAATGTTGCAGTCTCAGCTCATCTACTTAAAGAACTAGGTAGCAGGGGCAATACTTCACTGATCTTGTCTAAACTGAGAACCTAAGTAAGGTTAGGCTTGGCTAGTGCTTGGATGGTAGGCCTCCAGGAAATACCAGAGGTTTAGTGGGAAACATCCTATTAGTAATCAAGGACCAATTCTGCATTTTTGCCAAGAAAAATGCATCGAGGTATTTATGAAG